CCCTCGGTTTTCATCCGACGTTACGCGTTTTCCTGCACAGTGTTTGTGTCCTTCGGTGGGTACACAAGGGTTTCGTCCACTTTGAAAGGAGTGGCTTTCTTCACGGGTTTCTTGCTCTTTTTATCTGGCCGGTAAAAGTCGAGTTTGACTTCTTTCTGCACTTCCGGGGCTGTTGTTGGGGCCGTTTCTCTGACGGCGAGCGCCAATTCGCTGGTCAAATTGGCGAATGCCTTCAGGAAAGGCATGGCGGCCTTTTCCAGGGCTTGAGTGAATCTGGAGAAGAAAAAGAATCGGAGAAAATGTAACACACTTTTCGGCACAAAAATCGCACTGACCTTCCTCATTCTCAAAAATAATATTTCCAAAAAATTCTTTGCGTGACCCGAGAGAAGAAAAAAGGTGGAGATTTTCGCACGCAGAATCGAGCCGCGAAAATAATTGATTACCGGTACTCATAAAGTGGTTCTTCGTATAAATTTGCATGTACGAGTATGATCCAAAAACAGTTAAATTATGTTGTATATTCCACGTAACTTTTTGTCAAAAGACTCAGCGGCGAATTTTGAAAATTTCTCAATAACAATGTCTTATATAAATCACTAAATACTGTAGCACATGAAAAAAAAAAAAACTGCAAACTCAGTACAGGACAGGACAGACAGACAAATTCTTTTTGATTTTTGACAGAAATCTTTTGATCATTGATATTTCAGAGGAAGAGCAATCCCAATAAATGGGCTAGATTTTGCGGAATCACAAAAGAATTCTGATTTATTTACACAATTTAATGCAACGGTAAAATGTAACAGGTAAGGCTTTGATCAACCACATCAAATTGGATTTGGTGAATTCTATCAACTCTAAATTATTTTTAGAAATACAGTACGATAGGTGACGATATTCCTTTGAAAATTCATCAGTTGCACTTGAAAGACAATTTTTCCACTTTCTTCGAATACGGCAGACTGGCGCTGTGCATTTTAAATTTTGATGGACTTTTTAGGTAAGACTTGAAAGCTTCTCAAAAATTTAAGATCATAATGGAAGGCCGAATGTAGATCTTCATATTTTATTTCACCATGTCATGCTTGAAACGCGTCGTACCTGGATAATTTTCCGCACAAAAATGTATCGAATGCTCGCACCTCACGTTCAACTGAAAATCAAAATCCTGAACGAGTCGTGTCGAACGAGCCAATATATTCAATTTGGAAAAATTCGTTGACTTCACAAGAAGACTATCGTGAGCAGATCAGAAATAAGATTTACTGTACATGTACCTGAATTTCTTTCATCACTCGCTTGGAAGCCCAAAAATGCAGGTGTATGTAAAATCTACGGGGATTTCCAAAACTGAGAGATTAAAAAGTAAAAGTAGATAACAACGGAGTAACTCTAATTCTTACTTCCTGGAAGGTCTGAAATAAATCCAATACCTTTTTCTTTGTGTATGAAAGCCTAGACTTTGAAACCAAAAATTCGAAAACAAGTCGGACATTGAAAGGAGTGCTTCGATCCACCTGTCAAGAGCTTAAAATAATTATTAATCTTCACGCTTCCAAATTGAATTTCTTAGAAACGCTGGTATGTTATCTAACTGTTACTTGAATTTTTGGCTTTTGGTTGGAATCAAAAAATTTTTAATAACAACCTAGTTCGACACATTAGTGTTTTACAAAAGTTTCTTGGCGGCAGTTTTATTTAAACGGGGAAAACATCCATTCAAGACGCTGATAGATATTGAAGAAGTTCAATAATCTCAATTCGGCATATAATAAAGAAAGTGAGGGATGTTTTCGATGCAATAAAAGCCAAACCGTAAGGTGATACAGAACAAAAATAAAGACCTTGATTAAATCTATCCGATAGAACAGCTAAACTTCTGCACCATTCCAAAAATAACACCAGAAAGAATTAAACTCGAAAAATAATCGAACTTTAATCATTATTGAATGCATCAATATATGAATGGAAGGCAGATGAATGAACGCATCGGAGTTTTTCACAGGTAGCGAGCGACATCTACACGATATTGATTAAGGAGTGTCTCTAGCGTTCAGCAAAATATGCGCGTGTTGTTTGCTTTTTATGGGCTTCTTTTCATGTCAAAAGGACATTTTGCTCGTGGTTTTCTTCTGCAAAATTATTTGCTTTATTTTGGAGTGTATTTCCTTCAAATACTAGGGGGATTTTTTTTGTAATTTGGGCCAACAAGATAACAAATTGAAGATGTCCCCGCGTCCAAGTTTATTATGGGAAAACTTGATAAACTTGATCCAACATGCGGGCATTCCGAATTTGCGACAAATAGGGACAAGGTCCAAGAATGTCTGCATCTCTGGACCCCACTATATTCCTGATTTTTTCGAGAATGTTCGATTGATTTGATAAAATCGCTTGAGTTGAGAACGTGAAGCTACAAAAAAAAACAACGAAACAGCAACGACAAAAGCTTTACAAACCTGCTGGGGTCAAACTGGATGGGCACGAAGATGGGTTGTGCGATCGGTACAAGCTTGACTCCTGACGGGTCATCATTCCGATCCTTGGGCAAGACGTCTTTGAAAACTGCCCTG